TGACCCGACGCTGCTACCTGACCGGACGCGGGGACAGGAGGAGACTCAGTGGTCAGGGTGTAGAGGCTCGACCCCGGCCGACGCGAGAACGTGGCCAGGTGCCGGCCTGTGCGTGCGTCCGTGAAGTGGGTCACCCGCTGACTCGCAGGAGTGAACTGGTGAACCCCCTTATCCTGTAGGTCTGCACCACTCACCAAGTTCGTCGAGAACGAGGGGAGGTACAGGCCAGACAGGGTGCCCGAGGGGGCAGCCGGACACGGGAGGACAGTGGAGAAGTGAGCGAGGACAGGACCCCCAGAGGGGTCAGCCAGGGAGACTCCAATCGGCCGACCAAGCGGCGTGAGTGTGGTACGGTCCCGAAAGAAGGAGCGAGAAGCCCCAGAGTCAAGTGTAAAGGTGAGGGAGGCCGAAGCCAACGCGGTACCTGAGAGCGCAGCCTCACCCGCACCTGAGGAAGCAGACTCACTAGCACCTAGAGCAGCAGCCGCACCTGTACCTGGAGCAGGAGACTCACTAGCACCCAGAGCAGCAGCCTCACCAGTAGCTAGAGCAGCAGGTCCTATACCTGGGTCAGGCGGGACGCACAGGTGACCTGCACGGTCAGCACTAGTAGGCAATGCATACATGGCAGTGAGAATAGCATCATAGTCAAGAGCATATATATCTACCCTCTGCCTAAGCAACTCCACCTAGTCGGGAAGCTCAGCCTCGTCGCCAAACACGGTACGCCAGGCGTCGCTCAGACGGGCGAAGCAGCGGGACGGTGTATGACTACGTGTCCCACAAGGCTGACCAGTCCAAGTACCAGTGCGAATCACGTAAGAGCAGCGAACAGCACTAAGAGACCCTCCACTCTGAGCGTACCACTCACGAAGCTGGCGAGGCGTGAGAGACACGCGAGAGGGTCGCGGGAGCTGCATCTGGCCGTCACCACGAGTAGAAGCAGCAGGAGTGGTAGTAGGAGTAGCGTCGCCACCCCTACAGCCCCAACCAGCGTACCACTCACGCAGCTGCTGCGGCGTGAGGGACTCACGCCGGCGTCGCTGGGGCTGCATTTGGCTCCGCAAGTAGAAGCAGGAGCAAGACTAGCAGCAGGGAGGCAGGCAGCCAGGCAAGCCAAAAGGCAGGCAGGCAGGCAAGCAGGCGACGCGCAGCGTGCTAGCAGGGCAAGAGCTCACCAGTGGTGGGAAGAGTAGGTTCGGCGACTCAGCGGCTCGGCAGCTCGGCGGCTCGGCGGCTCGGGCGACTTGGGCGGCTCGGCGGCAAGGCGGCCCAGCAGCAACTGCAGCTCAGTAGCTCGGTGACTCGGCGGCTCGGCGGCAGGGCGGCTCGGCAGCAACTGCAGCTCAGCAACTCAGCGACCCGGCGGCTCGGCGGCAGGGCGGCTCGGCTGTGGGGCGGCTCGGCTGCTGCAGTGGGAGATGAAGGAGGAGGAGAAGCAGGGGAGGCCACACACCTGCCACCCCTCTGCTGCGGCCCCCTCAGGTCGCCTCGACAGGCGACGGGAAAAGGGGGGGTGGGTGGTGGGGGGCCGGTAGGTGCAGCGGCGGGGCCAGCAGGTGCAGTTGCGGGGCCGGTAGAAGGGGACGGCAGGAGCCGTCAGGAAGGGACGGCGGGGCCGTCACGAAGGGACGGCGGGGCCGTCAGGAGGTGACCGGGCCGCGACGGGGGCAGGCGGCGGGGCCGCGTAAGGGCCTGGGCGGGGCCGCGACAGAGCCGTCGGCGGGGCCGCGTGAAAGCCGGGGCGGGGCCGCGTAGAAGCCGGGGCGGGGCCGCGCAAGAGCAGGCGGCGGGGCCGCGAAGGAGCCGAGGCGGGGCCGCGTGAGAGCAGGCGGCGGAGCCGCGTAAGGGCCTGGGCGGGGCCGCGACAAAGCCGTCGGCGGGGCCGCGTGAAAGCCGGGGCGGGGCCGCGTAGAAGCCGGGGCGGGGCCGCGCGAGAGCAGGCGGCGGGGCCGCGAAGGAGCCGGGGCGGGGCCGCGTGAGAGCAGGCGGCGGGGCCGCGACAGAGAGGGCGGCGGGGCCGCGTCAGTGAAGGCGGCGGGGCCGCAGGGAAAATGGCGACCCGAGGGGTCGCTAAAAAAAGATCGCGCCTCGGGGGGCGCTTCGGTGGGCCCAAAAAAAAAAACGGTCCGTACAAGGACCCGCTCTATACCATGTGAGAATAAGCGAACAGGAATGAATGAAACTAGCAGTGAAATGAGTACAAGTAGGAAACCCTAGAATTGTGTACCCCCTATAGGCTAACCCACTGTAGCCTACACAAGCATAACATATATAATGTTTGACATAGGGTACATCCCAATATTCAGTACACACCGTGGTTCCACTGTTTTCTTCTGGACAACTAGCTGGCCTGGGCTGCGTGGAGAAAGGCTCTTCTCCAACGCCAGGAGTAAAGGTAGTAACCGTACAAGTTGACCCTGAGGGGGTGGATCCGGTCAACGCCTGCGATCCACTGGATGCATCCGGGAGGGGTTTTCGGAGTTTGTGCAGCTTCTTTTGAACTCCCAGCTGCCTCTTCAGCTGCTTCAGCTCCATAGACTTCTTCCCTGGGGAGTGGAGAGTCATCTTGGGCTGGTTCCGGGAGAGGACGTTGACGCCGTGAAAAGGTCTACTCCTTTCCACACTCCTTAATTTTTTCCCCAGCTCCGTAGGCATCGGTACCACTTCTTTAATTGTCTGCTTCCTCTGGAGTTCTTCCCGGATTTTGTTTATGGCTCCGGACCCGCGAAAATCGCCAATCTTCATTAAAGCATCTTTGAAAGATAACTTTAACGATTTTTTTTTTCGGGGTCGAATTGGAGAGTTCCCGTCTTGGTCGAGTCTGTTTTCGCGGAGGTTTTCTTTTCCTCGGCGAATTCCTCTGACAAATTTCGGTCAAGGGGCTTGGGATTTCGCCCTTGATTCTCCAAATCTCGCGCCCAATGCTGTCCTTTAATTTCGATTTGGTCCAAATTGCGCTGACGCTTTCGGATCTGTTTTTCCTCGCCAGCACGATCGGCAATCACTGGCGAGATCCGTTTTTTGACTTTTTGTTTTTAGTTTCGCCACTCCCACGAGCTCGGAATGCCGCACATGCAGATTTCATGTGAAAACAGTCGACAATCCGATGTCCGTTTCCGCCGCAAAGTTCGCAAATTGTTTTGTTTTTTGCAGGTCGTGAATTCGCGTCGAATTCGTCGACTTCCATGGGGTCGGCGAACGTGGTTGAAGCCGAGCGATCCCTTTGTCGTGATCCGACGACGTGGGGCCGTCATGTTCCGGAGGTTACCAAGTCAAAACGCTCCGCGGCCGATACGATTTCGCTGTAGCTACTGCAATTCGCTGCTGCAACCTGGCGCCGAATGTCGGTTTTCAGCCCCGCGATGTAGGACTGAATTTTTTCGCCCTGGGTAATGTCGGGAATGCGATTATAAAATTCCTCCATCTGTTGTGTGTATTGCGCGACACTCCCGAATTGCCTATGGTGATGTAATTTTTTGCACGCAATATAAGTGGAATTAATCGGCTCAAAACGTTTGAGAAGGTCTGCCCGGAACTGCTGCCATGTGGCTTCGCCCTGGAAAATGCTACTGTTGCTTCCGAGCCACTCGAGAGCTGGACCGCGCATCAATGTTGTCGCGAGATGAATTTTCTCGCCGTCGTACTCCGTCGTCGACCATCCGATTGCCGCGAAATAAATTTCCATCGTCGCGAGCCAACGCCTGACGTCGGATTTTCGATCGCTAGGGTCGAACGATTCCGGCGAGCGAAGTTTCGGAACCTCGAACTGACGCTGCGACTGCTGCGAAGTCGTCGAAGCAGGAATGTTCATGGTCGAGAGGAGCCGCGTAACGCGTTGCAGTTCGTTTTGCAGCTGCTCGTTCTCCAGTCGCGACCGTTCAGTCGTCGCTCGCATCTCCGCTTCCATCTTGGCGATTTGCGCGAAGAGCTGCTGCGTAACGTCGTTGGTCGTCGGCGAACCCATCCTGTTCAAAAACCACGCGAGGGGGTTAATTCGAAAAGCGCGGAACTGGTGCTTACTAGAAATCGGCGTCGAATTGGTCGCCCCCGGCGGTTTTTCGAGGCGATTTTTTCCGCGACCGCTGCTTAGCCGAGAGTCGTCGAGTGAGAACGGCTCTGCTTACCAAGTGTCACAGGATCGAATTCTCAATCGAAACTTGTCACTAAAACTGAATACAAGGCCTTTTTATACTCAGAAAATAGAAGGATAAATGAGATAAAACGAACCTTCGGGAACACGCCCTTCCCGATACTACAATCACAAGTGCGCATAAGCACGCAAGTCTATTGGCACTTGGGATTACGCCAAGATTACACCTTCTACACCACTGTCGGCGCTGTCGGTGCCGTATAATAGGTATGTCGGTGGGAAAAGTAGGAAATAAGAGAGATAATAGAAGGCTCTAGAAAATAGAATAGTAGGCCGATTGAGATGAGATAAAGACCAAAATAAAGAGGAGAAAAGGGAGAATAGGATAACAGAAAAATATAATAGTGAGAAAATATTATAACGGGGATGTCCTCTCACACTCGTGCACCCTTCTTTGAGGGGTGCTCCCCCTCCCCGCTTTTACCCTCTGTTACCTTTGCTGCTGCGGTCGACCTCGTTGGCACAGAGTCATTCGGCGCTGCGTGTGCCCCTAGCGGGAGACGCTGCAACGGCAAAGGGCAAGGGGGGCAAGGGCGCTGGAGGAACTGGCGGGGGCGGTGGAGGCGACGGAGGGGGTGGGGATGGCGGTGGGAGTGGTGGCGGGGGTGGGGGCTTCGGTGGCAGCGGTGGATGCGGAGGCGGAGGCGGTGGTGGCGGTGGGAGCGGAGGCGGCAGCGGTGGCGGCGGCAGCGGTGGAGCTGGTCAGGGTGGCTCTGTGCAGCGGGGTGGCTTTGGTGGTGGTCAGCGCCAACAGCATCACACTCGTGAGACCCCGCCCCCGCAGCAGCTTCGTGAGTGGTACGCTGCGCGCTAGCGGGGTGGGGGTGCTGGTCCCTGTGCCTACGTTATGCGTACCAGCGACCGCAGTGGTGAGCCGTGCGATGGCCCGAACACCACCCAGCGCTGCTTCGGCCGCCTGACGGACGCCTGGCGTCTCCAGATCCCTGACGCCACTCTGATCCCTTGCTGGGGCGAGCTGCTTAGGTCGGAGGTTGTTGTCTTTGATCTTGATTATGATGCTATTCTTGCTGTCATGCATGTTGTGTCTACTAGTGATGAGGGTGACTGTAATCTGTGTGTTCCACCTGACCCGGACATTAAGGCTGCTGCTCTAGGTGCTGGTGAGGCTGCTGCTCTAGGTGCTAGTGCGTCTCCTGCTCCAGGTGCTGGTGAGTCTGCTGCCCGAGGTGCTCGTGAGTCTGCTCTCTTAGGTACCACGTCGGCTCAGGCCTTGCACACCTTCACCCTTGACTCGGGTGCTTCCCGCTCCTTCTTTCGAGACCGCACCACACTGACGCCGCTTAGTCGGCCGGTTGCAGTCTCCCTGGCAGACCCCTCAGGGGGTCCTGTCCTTGCCCACTTCTCCACTGTCTTAGCCTGTCCGGTGGCCCCTTCTAACACCCTCTCAGGTCTTTACCTCCCCTCGTTCTCTACGAACTTGGTGAGTGGTGCTGATCTACAGGATGGGGGGGTTGACCAGTTCACTCCTGCGAGTCAGCGAGTGACCCACTATACGTGTGCATGGACGGGCCGAAACTTGGCCACGTTTAACCGTCAGCCGGGGTCGAGCCTGTACACACTGACTACTGAGTCTCCTCCAGTTTCTGCTTTTGGTCAGGTAGCTGTGTCGGGTCAGGTGTTTGCTGCAGCGTACCGCTCTTGTCCTGACTATGCCCCCTGCTCGTGTCTGTTGGAATCACGAACAGGAATGAATGAACTAACAGTGAAATGATACAAGTACCTAACCCTAGAGTTGTGTACCCCCTATAGGCTAACCCACCGTAGCCTAAACTAACACAACATATATAATGTTTGACACACCCCCATAGGCGAAGTGGGGCAGAACTAGGGGTCACAAGACCAGTCAAGGCAAAGCAAGGCAAAGCAAGCTCAGGGTGGATCTCAAGGATACCACACAAATTCCGAGCACAAGCAAGTGGTCACAAGACCAGTTCACATGCAGGTTTATAATAGAGGAAAAGGTACAATGATCATAGTACAAACAGACTCAACCTAGCAAGAGTAAACATGCAGGTATATATATATATAGAGATCACAGTACAAACAGACTCAAGAAGTAAGCAAGTGAGGCCCAGTAGGCACAAGGCCTAGAAGAGTGCAAAAGCGCTGATGGTCACAAGGCTGAAGCGCCTTGGTGAACACATCAGCAGTGTTGGCCTCAGAGGCCACGTAACGCGGGCGAAGCTGACCACGCTGCTGCAGCTCTCGAGCAAGGAAGTAACGCAGAGCAATGTGCTTTGTTCTGTGCTCCAGTCTGTGCTCCTCACACAAGGCAATGGCTGCCTTGTTGTCGACGTACAGCACTGGAGGAGAACGAGGCTGCTCTCCAAGGCCGGTCAGCAAGTAGGTGAGCAAGCATAGCTCCTGGGCCGCCATGGCTGTGGCGTAGATCTCAGCCTCACAACTAGAGCTGAGAACAGAAGAAGAGCGAGTAGAACGCCAAGAAACAGAATCAGAGCAAGGACTGAAGGAGTAACCCTGAGACGACCGCTGAGTAGCCTGGTCGTCTGCCCAAGAAGCGTCTGAGTGCCCAGTGAGAACAACTGGGACTCGCCCTCCAAGCACTAGCCCCTTGCCTGACGTACTGCACAAGTAGCGCAACACCCTCTTAGCTGCATCCATGTGCTCCTTCCGGTGGCGGCCGGGAGCGACATAGCGTGCAAGAATGCTGAGAGGGTATGCAAGGTCTGGTCGAGTGCAGGTCATCACGTACATGAGGCAACCCACAAGCTCTGGATATGGGCCACTCGGCTCTACGGACTCATCCGAAGGCACAGCTGAGAGCGAGTGACCGGTAGGCAGAGGAGTGGGTTGAGGCGAGGAGTACGTGAAGCGGAAGCGCTGAAGGACCTGCTGCACCATGTGTGACTGAGTCAAGGTGATGGTGCGGCGTGCTCTGTCCCGGGTGATCCGTAGGCCAAGATAGCTTGTCAGTTCACCTAGGTCTGTGCACGTGTGTCTCTTCTACAGCTCCGACTTCACGTCGGCGAGTGCCACACTGTCAGCAGTAGCAAAGACCAAGTCGTCGACGTACACAAGGACGTAGAACGGCGGCAGTGAGGTGTCGGTGCGTAGAAACAGCGACGGGTCAGCAGTAGAAGGTGCGAACCCAAGAGCCGCAAGCGTAGTCCTCAGTGTGTCGTGCCACTCACGGGGTGCCTGGCGGAGACCGTAGACTGGCCATTGGAGGCTCCACTGGGTACCAGGAGGGAACGACCCAGTGAAGCCAGGTGGACGGCGCAGCCAGATCTCCTCGTGCAGGCTGCCCTGCAGGAAAGCAGTGCTGAAGTCAAGCGAGTGGAGCTCGTAGTCACGCTGAGTGGCGACGTGCAGCAGAACCCGAAGAGTGGTCATCTTCGGGGTCGAGGAGAAGGTCTAGAAGAAGTCAACTCCCTCTCGCTCACTGAAGCCTCGTGCAACGTAACGCGCCTTGAAGACAGGCGGAGAGCCCGGCGGCCGCTTCACCCTGAAAATCCACATGCCACTGACGATGTTCGCCCCAGGCAAGGGAACCTCGTCGACGTAGGTGCCTGTGGACTTCCAGGAAGCCATCTCAGTATCCATGGCTGACTGCCACTGAGAGGAGTAGGGACCGGCCATCGCCTCTGCGTAAGAGCGTGGGGTCGGGATGTATGGTGCATCCGGTTCTCCCTCAAGGGCAACAAGCATGGACACGAGATGGGGCAAAGCAGCAGCAAAGCACTCAAACTCCTCCTGCCTGTCCTCAAGGACGTCCGTGCCAAGAGCACACTCACCCCCGACGGACGGAGGACAGACAAACTCAGACTCAGCAACTAGGCTAGCAGCGTAGTCTAGACGACAGCGAGCAGCAAAGTCGACAAGCTCAGCAACTAAGGCAGACGCAGCAGCAGACTCAAAGGAAGGGTCAGTGATAACAGTAGCCAGGAGACGCATGACAGTAGGACTGGCAGCACGAAGAGAGTCTGATCCAGGGTCAGCAAGAGCAGGAAGAGAGGAAGCAGGAGGAGACGGCAGTGGGACACGCTGTGGAGCAATGGACGGACGAAGCGCCATTCGGTGAGTGCCTAGGGTAGCAGGTAGACGCTGACGCTAGACACGACTACTAGAGAGAGCAGTGCGGACAGGCGACTCAGGACGAGACTCAGGCGACGCAGGACAAGACTCAGGCTCACGACGCTCAGTAAGACCTCCAGTCGGACCAGTGTAAGGAGCTGGACCAGGGAGAGAGGAGGCAGACGGTAACTGCGGTTGCAGCTGGATAGACGGAGGACACGCTAAGGAGGGAGGAGGACAAGGAGGAGGGAGCTGACCAAGAACCTGCTGAAGGAGCGGAACGAAGTACGGCCCGGACCGTGCAGCGACACCAGAGTCGGTAGGGACACCCGCACCAGGGTCCGCAGCACCAGCGGCAACTCCAACACCTGGGTCCGCAGCTCCAGCAGCAGCTCCAACGCCCGGGTCCGCAGCACCAACGGCAGCTCCAACGCCCAGGTCCACAGCACCAGCAGCAGCTCCAACGCCCGGGTCCGTAGTACCAGCGACAGCTCCAACGCTCGGGTACTCAGTGCCAGAATCAGCTCCAACGCCCGGGTCCTCAGCACCAGCAGCAGCTCCAACGCCCGGGTCCTCAGCACCAGCAGCAGCTCCAACGCCCGGGTCCTCAGCACCAGCACCAGCTCCAACGCCCGGGTCCTCGAGTGCCAGCAGCAGCTCCAGCGCCCGGGTCCTCAGCACCAGCAGCAGCTCCAACACCCGGGTCCGCAGCACCAGCGGCAGCTCCAACGCCCGGGTCCTCAGCACCAGCAGCAGCTCCAACGGCAGCGGGGTCCGCAACACAAGGCACGCCGCTCCGAAGAGTGCAGCGCCGCTCGTACCACTCACGGATCCGCTCGCAGGAGGGGAGCTCCCGAACGGGAGAAGAAGCACTAGCACCAGTCCCAACAGTACGTCCGGCTCGAGCGGTACCTCTCCGGAGTCAGCAGTACTGTAAGTACCACGCACGCAGCTGCTCCGAGGAGAGGGCTCCTCCAGGTGTAGGACTCCCAGGCCCAGAACCTCCAGACCCAGAACCCCCAGACTCCGGACTCTGCGGCTCAGCACCACGAGGCTCCACACCCCCAAGCTCAGCACCCCCAAGCTCCACACCCCCAGGCTCCACACCCCCAGGCTCCACACCCCCAGGCTCAGCACCCCCAGGCTCAGCACCCCCAGCAGGACGAGAGTCGACAGCTACCTCAACAGGCTCAACCGGGTCTACCTGAGACATACCTGAGGGAGCGGCACCCTGAGGGGGGGAGGGGTCTGCAACAGCAGCACCTAGCGCAAGGAAGAGAGGCGGGGGGGGGGAGCGGGGCAGTGCGGTAGGGGAAGAGGCGGTAGTAGGGGACGGACTCGTCAAAAGTGACGTCTTGGGAAGGCATGACTTGGCGCGAGGTGGCGTGGTAAAACTGCCAACCAGACGCGTCCGGGACAAAGCCGAGGAAGTCGCAGGGAACAGCACGGGAGGAGAGCTTGTCCGCAGACGTATCGCGGACAAAAGCTCAAGACCCCCAGACCCGGAAACGCGACGCATCGCCAACCTCCCCCGTCCATAGCAGCGTGGGCGATGTCTCCGGCAAGGAGACACGAGGCCAGAGGTTGAGCTGATGCGCAGCGTACCGGACCGCAAACGGCCACAGAAAGTGGGGGGCAGCCGCATGGATCAAGGAGGTACGGGTGACCTCCATGACCAGGCCAATGCAGCGCTCCACAACCCCATTCTGCTGTGGAGAGGCCGAAAGCATGAACGACTGCTCAATGCCGTGCTCAGCACAGTAGGCTGCTAAGAGGTCGGAGGAGAACTCACCACCTCTGTCAGAGTTCAAGCGTAGGACAGGAAAGTCCGAGTGAAAACGCTCGCTGAGCTGGAGACGGGCTCTGCGGATCCAAGGGATCAAGACATCAGGGACCTCACCCTTGGTGCGCAAGGGGAAGACCGAGGTGTAGCGCGAGTAGTCGTCAACAACTATCAGGAAGTACCTCTCCTGACCCTGACCACGGACGCGGGCTGGGCCCCACACGTCCATGTGGAGCGTCTGCAAGGGAGCAGTCGTCGGGGGGAACGAGGAGGAGTGAGGAGCGGCACGCTGCCATCCCTCGACACAGGGGAGACAGGTAGGAGCAGGCAAGGGTGGGAGGGCAGGAAGGACCCTAGGCAGGCCAGAGACAAGGTACCGGGAGTGCATGGCACGAAGCCGCTGCACAGACGGGTGGCCAAGGCGGTGGTGCCAGAGGACAGTCTCGTGTGCCAGAGAGCGACACGAGCAGGGGGCCGACATCTGACCTGACGCGGACGCGGACGCAGACGCAGCAACCTGAGGGGACTTAGTAGTCAGTGTGTACAGGTCCGACCCCGGCTGCCGAGTGAAGGTAGCCAAGTGACGGCCCGTACGAGCACACGTGCAGTGTGTCACGCGCTCGTAGGCAGGGGTGAACTGGTGAACACCCCCGTCCTGGAGCGCACATCCTGCCACGAAGTTCGTAGAGAACGAGGGGAGGTGGAGACCTGACAGTGTGCTCGACGGGACCGCAGGACAGGGAAGGACAGTGGAAGAGGTCGCAATGACCGGACCCCCAAAGGGGTCAGCAAGGGAGACAGCAACTGGCCGAGCAAGCGGCTCAAGGGC